AACTGCAACGGCCAGATGGAGCATCTTTTGCAGCCCCTGTTTCTGCTTCAGTGCGTGCAGCTTGCTCGCCCAGTCAGCCCATGCAAAGCGCCAGGGCGCCGCCTTCTGAACGCGGCGTCCAAATTGCATCTGCTCTTGTTCGGGAAGTTGTTGTGGACAAGTGGTCCCTCCTCTATTCTGAATTGTCTGCCTTGCCGCCAAGCCAGCAATCCCAATGGCAGGGCTCTTTGGCCGCCTCCTTGTCCAATCAGTTCGAGTTTGGCACTTTGTCAGCAGCTTTGCGGTCTTTTCGCCGCTTGGTCCACTGGCTTGCTGAGCAGACGTTGCCGCTGGAATGCCCTGATCCTTCAACGCTGCGGGCCTTCCTGGACCTGCAGCGCGAACGTGGCCCCACTGTGAATGCGACAGTTTTACGACAGTTTCTGTGGTTTGAGACTCAACTTCGCGTGCCTTTCCATGCTCGCAGCCCTTTGCTTGCAGATTTCTTAACTCAGAAGGCGGCCCCGCTGCCAACCCAGGCAGAAATTTTGACACCTGCTGCCTGGAACCATTTGCTCTCCTTGTGTAGCACCAGCAACTCTGGGTGGAACGGCTTGCAAGTGGCAGCGGCCCTGGTGATTCGCTATGTCATTTCCGCACTTCGCTCCAAGCACACCCAACGGGCTGCTTTTGCTCCCGACCTGTCCTCCGGCAGAACTTTAGTTTGGAAAGTCAGCAAAGGAAAGGATGGTCAACCATTCGCTGTCTCTCTGCCAACGCACATCAGCCCCAAGTAGCCCCTGCTTAGCCGGTTGAATGATGAACTCGAACGTGTCGTGGGTGATGTACCGACTTTCATGCCTGACTGCTACTTCAACTCAGCGGGTGAGGTTCGTGTTGCTTCAGTGCCATGTCCCTATCACAGATTTCAAGCCTTTTTTCGATCACTGTTGACATTGCCGCCTTTGGCCCTGTCTGCAGACGAAGCTTCCAATTTCAGCACTTACAGCATGCGCCGATTTTTGCCATCCATGGCTGATTCCTTACAGCTTTTTGACAGTGAGCGAAATTGTTTGGGGAACTGGCAGGATGGAGCCCGCTTGTCGCTGAATGTCCGCTACAGTGCTGAGCGGTTGGAAACTGCTGCTGGCATCCGCAGACTGTGCTTGGCTGCCATTGCCCATTTTTTGAAACATGTCACCAATCCGCCTACGTGGCTTCGCCTTCGAGGAGTTCTTCCACATGTCCAATCGCTGCGCCAGATTGTTGCGTCTTCGGAATCTTGGGGGCCTGGCACCGAAGCAGTGCCAGGGCCAAAAGAGGAACCAAGGTCACCCACTGAGCGTATGAGTAGCAGTTCTGACAGCTCGTCCTCGCAGCCTTCGTCCGATGAGTCCTGCCACGTGTTGGACATCCCGCAGTCGGTAGAAGATTTGATATTTGTGAGGCCTCAGCATGGCATGTGGCATGTGACTGCTGAGCGCGATTCACTTACACCAAGTTGTTGTGCCAAGTCCTTTCGGCCCAAAGGTGTCCGATGGGCCCATGGCCACACAGCAGCTTTGGAGAATCCTGGGCGTTTTTGCAGCCTTTGCCTTGCCAGGCTACCAGAATCCATGCGAGTGGACATTTCGGCGGGGCAACTCTGACAGCGCTTGCGCATAAAAAAGAAAAGCAGCAGAGCCCGCCGCTTCGTCAAGTACTTGGGCTTCCACGCAATGGTTGGGCAATGCTTCCCCTGCACCCTGCCTTCTGCGTTTATAGCCTCCTGCTGTTGTGTTTAGCTTTGCTCCACGCACTGGGGTGTGCAGGAGCTCAACACCCCTGCCCCCTTTGCTGGTAGCTTCCCTTAGCCACGCTGCACTGAAGGGCAATGCGGCCTTGGCTGCACCCTTTCACAGCGTGTGTAGCTTAGCAGTTTGCATTTTTGCTCCACGCATTGGGGTGTCCAGGCGAGCAACACCCTGCCCCCCCTTTGCTGGTAGCTTCCCCTAGCCCACATGATCTAGCGTTCGCTGGTCTCTGTGTGGCCTAAGGTCGGTCGTGCAGCTCACCGCGCTGCCATGAGGGGCAACGCGGCTTTGGCCGCGCCCTTCACAGTGCGTGTAGCCTATGAGGGTCACGCCTTGAAGGGAACCCATGACACCACAGAAATCAACATGGGCTCCTTTTTTTTTTTAAAAAATGGGAACTCATGACCCCGCAGAAATCCACACAGGTTCGAATTTTCTTGGTGGCAGAAGGGGCACAAGGTGTCACCTGACACGCTGTCCGCATATTGTCACTCACAACTCATAGTTGCCATGCGCTCCCTGCAGCATGTCACGTCCTGTTTTCTCCGCAGCTGTGAAAGCCCAAATTCGTCTTTCAAGTTTCCGGGTACGGCCTGCATGGCTACTCCAGCTGAACAGCTCGAGTCCTTCCTAGTTGCCAAAGAGATTTTTGACCTGCTGCGTGCTGCTGGAGTTGAGAGCATCAGTGACTACATAGGTTTGTATGCTGAGTCTGAATATGAAGATGGTCTGAAAGAGTGGACAGACAAGTCCACGAATTTCCAGGGCAACAAGATCCAACTGAGCCGCCTACGGATTGCGTGGGCCACTGGCCGCAAAGAGTTGCTGCGCGACACCCCGGCTGGTGCAACTGACGATGCTGACTTGGAAGCGCCCTTGCCCGTGGATGCCCGGAAAAAGCAAGATGAAGTCTTCCAGCAGAAGTATCAGCTCAAACTGCCATTGGAGCTGACCCCTGCTCCCCCTCTCTTCAACAGGCATTTCCGGGAATTTCGGAAACAGGCGAAGACCTTAGATGAGTTGGCCAAAGTCAAATCGGCTCTAGACACCAGCCTTTCGTCTTCGCAATCCTCCAAGGCGACATTTCCTGATGCTTTGGCTTTTCTGCGAGCCCACCAGGTCTTGCTGAACTCATGGGCAATGACTGCGACGTCTGATCGCCAGTCCAAGTTGCACGTTCAAAGCACTATGGTCACAGACTTTTCCTTGTCAGATGCTTTGGCGTACCATGTGTTTGTCACTGATCGTTTAAGGGCTCATCCTGGGCCTGCTGAAGCAGCCATCCAGTGGACCTTGGACAGGGATCGTACGCAGAAGGCTGGCCCATGTGTGAGGCTTTGCGTGTTGCGCGTGAACAGAAGACAGCAGTTTTGTGGCAAATTGGCCCTGTGGGAGCTTTGGCTGACGCTCAAGCTCGACCTGCCAAGCGTCCCAAAACTGGGCCTGCTGGGCCGCAGATAGATCCTTCCACGCACATTGCTTTCGACGAAGCCGACCTTTGCAAAAAGTGGAATGACGGCAAGTGCACCAAGAGACAGAAAGATTGCCCGGATCAGAAATTGCATCGATGTTCATTTCGCATGGCATCCGGATGCTTGTGCGGCGCTTGGCAGCATAGCTAAAGCCAAGCACAAGCCGGTCAAGACCAAATAGGGACAGCTCCTCCACTTGGGGGGAGGCCAGCCTCAAGCGGAGGTAGAAACAGTGCCCGTGGCCGTGCCTTGGATTATGGATCCTTCTTCTTCGCAAGCTTGCCTCACACATCCTGCCAAAGAATTGTGGTTTCACGACGCCATGAGCTTGTTGCCCATCGAGCGTGTGCCTGAATCCATTGTCCACGAAGTCCGTGACAAATTTTTTCAAGCATGATTGGCATTTTGCATCGTATCACCAGTGGTGTGAATTTCACCATATCCCGAATGCACATGGCCTGGACTGGGAAGCTTTGCGGCTGATAGACCCCGCACGAGCAGATCGCCAACGAAGTTGGTCGACTCTCCCAGCTTTAATTTGCCGAGACATTTCGTCTTGCTCGCAGCATGTCCAAGCTGCCTTGTCACTCAGCCACCCGTTTGACGGAAAGGTCTGCTTGGAAAAGGATTTGCAGTTCGCTGTCGACGCGTCCGTCCAGTTGGGCCCCAGGGTTGGACACCTTAGGGAGTTGTTTTTTCTGGAACTGCGTCGTTTAGGGCGCATCCTCAACACTCTGGATTCCCACTTGCTAGCAGCACGCCCAGTACAGCATGTGCCAGGAATGAAACCTGCATTAGTTGCATTCATGATTGCTTTGCTCAAGTGGCCGGATCGGAGTTTACCCCAAAATTTAATTGCAGGTTTTGAGATTATTGGGCACATACCACCCTCAAACATTTTCCGGCCTGTTCATCCTGCCCAGCTGCCAGAACTTCCATTACTTGGACACGATGCTGAGCAGTATGTCAACAGTTTGGAACGTGATTTGCGTGTGCATCCAAGTGCCGAATTGATTTTGGCTGAAACTAGGAAAGAGCAGGATTTTGGTTTAGTTGGTCCTTTTCACACCCGTGCCACTTTGATCAAAAATATGGAAGGGGCCAGTGGCGCCCTTTGAAGCGCCACACTGTCACCCAGGAAGAACGGCCCATCGACGATGGGAAAGCTGGTAGGCATAATGAATGCACAAGTATGAGTGAAACCATTGTCAACCAGCGTCCTGATTTTCCAACTGCGGTAGTCAAGTTTTGGGGACAGCGGCTTTTAACACACTTGAGATTGTCTGAGCCAGACGCTCAACCCAGTGATCTGCCGCAACATTGCCCTTATTTCCATATTTTAGTAGGTACTGAAGATTTCTGGAAGGGTTACCGGCAAAACCATGTTTCTCATGAGCATGAAGCTGTCAATATCATCACCTTTGTGCATCCCATTTCTCGACGCAGGATTTATGCCCAGCTCTATGGGATGCCGTTTGGTTTAGCTTCTGCTGTCAACCAGTTCAATCGTGCCCCCCAATTGTTAACTGCTGTCGCCCGCCGGGTTTTACTTTTAATATGCGGTCATTATTTTGATGATTCCATTCAGTTCGAGTATCAAGATTTGGCCGCACAAACGAAACTCTTGTATGTGCGTTTCCTGCAGCTTTTCGGTGTTGAAATCAGCCACGGCAAACGCCAGCCCATGACCCACATCCCAAAGTTTTTGGGCCAGCTGACTGATTTGCGGTCTCTTCTGTGCGATTTCACCATAACCATGAAGGGGTCCCCCGAAACCATTTTAAAAGCCCAGGACTTGATTGGACGAGCCTTACAAGAGCGTTGTCTCTCTTCCGGGGAAGCGTCCAAACTCCGGGGGATTTTAACTTGGTTGGAAAGCACTTTTTCTGGGAAACCCTTAGCAGGTGCCAAGTCTGCGCTCATTGCGCGCCAGTATTGGGACACGGAGCACGAACTTACGGTCACTTTGCAAAAATCTTTGGAAATTTTGCAGCTGGCCCTAGGCCATCTGCCTCCCCGCACGGTCCACATTTTTCCTGCGCTGTCTAAGCCTGTGGTAGTTTACACTGATGCTTCCACCGAAGCACCATGCCCGAGTGGTTGCCGCATCGGCGTTTGGATTCATGATGGTGAGACCATTTGGTGCGAGGCTGTGGATGTACCTAGAGACATTTTAGCCGCATGGTTACCCCGCAAAACCCAAATCAATTTGTTGGAGTTATTGGCAGTTCCTTTAGTTGCGCACGCCAACGCTTCAATTTTGAAGTCTAGAGACGTCATTTGGTTCCTCGACAACCAAGCTGCGCTGGGCAGCTTGGTAAAAGCAGCCTCTCGACAGTCAGACGTCAACTACTTGTCGTTGCTTTCCGGTTTGGTTTTTGCAGTTTTGGGGAGTAGACCATGGTATGAATGGGTACCGTCTCGTTGTAATATTAGTGACCCTTTAAGTCGGTTGGGCCTAGCAGATCCGTTAGTCCAAACGCAACTTGCTCGAGGAACTTGGCGGCGCTTAAACCTCATACCTAATTGGAACTTATTACAGCCAAATTTAGATTCCATAGCCACTTTCATCACAGCGTTGGGGTCAAAAAATCATGAAACAGCGTTGGGAACCTCTGTGTCAAGTGGCAGGCGCGAAACCGCAGTGTGTATCTCTGTGTGAAATAGCAGATGCTGAACCAGTAGTGTGTATCTCTGGGTGAAATAGCAGATGCTGAAACCTGAGTCCACAAGGTTTCTTTGTTCCAATGCTTCAGCGATCCGATCGATTTCGCCAGTTTGGAAAAAGAGAGAATATGTGCGCGCCAACCTTTTGCAGAGATGGTCGACATGTTTCGGAGTGGCAGGGAAGGTGCATGAAGAATTCTCTGAAAAGTTGTTGCCGCACCGCAGTGTCCACCCAAGTATCTCGACCTCTCTTTCTTTCACCCGCCCCCGTGCCACCCCTTAATTGGCCAAGGCCTCTGCCGGTCCACGTGTGCACTCCCACACAGTCCCCCTCCATAGGGAACCTCTGTGTGAAGTGGCAGGCGCGCGAAACCGCAGTGTGTATCTCTGGGTGAAATAGCAGATGCTGAACCAGTAGCGTGTATCTCTGGATGAAATAGCAGATGCTGAAACCTGAGTCCACAAGGTTTCTTTGTTCCGCGCGCCTACCTTTTGCAGAGATAGATACATAGATACATAGATACAATGCTACATAGATAGATAGATAGATAGATAGACAGATAGATACATACATACATCCATACGTCCATACATCCATACATCCATACATCCATACATCCATCCATCCATCCATACATCCATCCATCCATACATACATACATAGATACATAGATACATAGATAGATAGATCGATGGATAGATAGATAGATAGATAGATAGATAGATAGGTAGAGACAGACAGACAGACAGACAGACAGACAGACAGACAGACATACATTCATACATACATATATATATTGCTATCATCGTAGTAGCGTTAACATAGCTTTTGGAGTTTCCAGGTCAGAACTGACAAAACCTGGTGATCAGAGCATGGCTGGATTTGACCTCATCAAAAAATACTATCAAAAGTGGTGATCAGAGCATGGCTCGACTTGATTCCATCAAATTATAAATATCAAAAGAGGTGATCAGATTGTGGCACGAGTTGGTGTTGTCAACAGATGATCCAGACCAGGAGATCAGTGGGTAAGGAAATTAAGAAGAACAGAGTGATCAAATTCATGAAAGAACCCTGGGCTACTCCTAACGGGGCTACTCATAAAACTTGCTATCCTTTCCAAAAAAAAACGAGACAATTCCAGGAAAAAAACATAAAAACATCTAAAAAGTCAAAAAAAATATTCAAAAATCCAAAAAATCAAAAAAAAATGGAAAAACTGCAAAAAACGTTAAAAAAACACGAGAAAAAGAAAGCGGGAGTGAAGCGGGAGCGAAGCGGGAGTGAAGCGGCAGGCAAGAAAACCATGGAAAACCGTGAAAAAACATTGAAATCATCGAATCCGCTTCGTTCCCGCTCCGCTCCCGCTCCGCTCCCGCTTCGTTCCGGCTCCGTTCCCGCTTCAAGCCCGTGGAGTCTTAACGCTACCATGATCATTTCAATGTCTAGGTGTCAAGGGTTGTTTCTACTGAAAAATCATCAGAAAATACACGTCGTGTATCAAGGTCAATTTACGCACCAAAAAATTCACCAAGTTGTTGCCACCAAAAAATCACCATGAAACCCTAGGAGTGTTAACGCTACCATGATCATTCCAATATATATATATAGATAGACAGACATACATATAGACATATACCTATACAGCCTACACATCACTGGGGTAGATCCCTGGGCTTCTGCCATGGCTGCCATGGCTGGAGGCCAATGGGACTTGTTCGCCCACATTCTGCACCGATGCGGCCGGACCGGTACCTTGCTCCATCAGCGACCAAGGAAGATTTGAGAGGAAGACATGTAGGATATATGCAATATATGTAAGTCTATAGATGTATGTAGAAGATATATGGGATATATTATATATATGTGTGTATATATATATAGATGTGATTTGTGCATTTGATATTGGTATTTTCCGAGGATCATTTTATACAAAGAACAAATGGGGCATCTGAAACTTCTATTATCTTTATGGAACATTGACCGAGTCAGCAACTAAGCGAGTCAGCAACTAAAGAAGTCCGAGTCAGCAGCTGAGCAAACCCGAGTCAGCAACCAAGAGTCGGCAACTAAAGGCACCGAGTCAGAAACTATCCGAGTCAGCAACCGAGAACGTCCGAGTCAGCAACAAACCAGTCCGAGTCAGCAACCACACCAAGTCCAAGTCAGCAACTACAAAAAGTCATTTTCAGCAACCAAAAATGTCCCAGTCTGCACTAAATATTAAATGGAGTATTAACTTCAACTTATTTTCAGGAGGGATTAAATCCACCACCGCCTCTGGACAATATAGTGATTGGCATAGTGACTTCAACTTCTTCTCACAAGGAATCAAAACTTCCACCCCTCTGGGCAATATATTGAACGGGAGATCAACTTGAACTGATCTTTCTGAAGGATTAAATCTGCGACCCCCTCTGAACAATACATTGATTGACAAAGTAACTTTAACTTCTTCTGAAAAGGAATCAAAAGTGCCACCCCTTCTGGAAATTATGTCACGGGCTGAGATGGCAAACAAAAGAGCTGAGTCGGCAACCATGAGTCGGCAACAAAGAGATCTGTCCAAGAGACCGCTTATAGAGATCTTGTACAGAGATCTTGCCAGGAGACCTCTTTCAAGAGATCTTGCGCAGAGACCTTGCATAGAGGCCTATAGAAAGAAAGATAGACACAAAGGAAGAAATTAAAGAAAGAACGATAGATCGACAGATAGATGAATGGATAGAAAGAAAGAAAGGAAGAGAAAGAAAGAAAGAAAGATAGAAAGAAAGAAAGAAAGAAAGAAAGAAAGAAAGAAAGAAAAAAGAAAGAAAGAAAGAAAGAAAGCAAGAAAGCAAGAAAGCAAGCAAGGAAGGAAGGAAGGAAGGAAGAAAGAAAGAAAGGAAGGAAGAAAGAAAGAAAGGAAGAAAGGAAATAAATACATAAATAAAGGACCGAAAGAGAAAGAGAGAGAGAGAGAGAGAGAAAGAAAGAAAAGAAAAGAAAAGAAAAAAAGAAAAGAAAAGAAAGAAAAGAACAGAAAAGAAAAGAACAGAAAAGAAAAGAAAAGAAAAGGAAAGAGAAGAAAACAAAAGAAAAGAGAACATAAGAAAAGAAAAGAAAAGAGAAGAAAAGAAAAGAAAAGAAAAGAAAAGAGAAGAAAAGAAAAGAAAAGAAAAGAAAAGACAAGAAAAGAAAAGACAAGAACAGAAAAGAAAAGAAAAGAATAAAAGAAAAAAAAGAAAGAAAGAAAGAAAAGAAAGAAAGGGAAGGAAAGAACGAAAGAACAGGAAAGAAAGAAAGAAAGAAAGAAAGAAGGAAGGAAAGAAAGAAAGAAAGAAAGAAAGGAAGAAAGAACGAACGAACGAACGAACGAAAGAAAGAAAGAAAGAATAAAGAAAGAAAGAAAGAAAGAACGAAAGAAAGAAAGACAGAAAGAAAGAAAGAAAGAAAGAAAGAAAGAACGAAAGAAAGAAAGAAAGAAAGAAAGAGACAGAAAAGGAAAGAAAGAAAAGGAAGGAAGGAAGGAAGGAAAGAAAGAAAGAAAGAAAGAAAGAAAGAAAGAAAAGGAAAGAAAGAAAGAAAAGGAAAGAAAAGAAAGAAAAGGAAAGAAAGAAAGAAAGAAAAGGAAAAAAAGAAAGAAAGAAAAGACAAGAAAAGAAAAGACAAGACAAGAAAAGAAAAGACAAGAAAAAGAAAGAAAGAAGTAAATAAAGAAAGAAAGAAATACAGAAAGAAATAAAGAAAGAAAGAAAAGGAAAGAAAGAAAGAAAGAAAGAAAAGGAAAGAAAGAAAGAAAAGGAAAGAAAGAAAGAAAGAAAAGGAAAGAAAGAAAGAAAGCAAGAAAAGGAAAGAAAGAAAGAAAGAAAAGGAAAGAAAGAAAGAACGCAAGAAAAGGAAAGAAAGAAAGAAAAGGAAAGAATGACAGAAAGAAAGGGACAGAAAGAAAGAAAGAAAAGAAAAGAAAGGCTGTGCGGAGGCGCAATTGGGTCGGGGGCGCTTGGGCTTGGCCGGCCCTGAGACTTTCCATTTGGCACATTTGTTGACGGAATTGTTCAGAGAATGGGTTTGTGGCGGAGGTCGCAAGTTTGGTGATGCGTCTGCCGGGGGGCAATCCGCGCTCTTCCGCGCCAGAAAGCCAGACGGCACAACAGTCAAAATCAATTCCTGGGGCGCCTGGAATTCCAAGATGGGAAGCGCAAAGAGGCAACGCAAGCGTACCATGGGCGCGGCGCCGAGAGCATTCAGTATGCGCAATTAGAGCGGAAATTTGCGGCAACAGTTTCCCCCGAAGGGCATCCCCTGCGCGGCATGGTGTTAGACGGCCAGCCGGGTCGCGGGGGAAGCGGCTGGCCTGTGATGGACGGCGTCACTTGCTATGACCCCGCTGTGAACAAAGTGAAGCTCCACCACTCTAAGGCCGACAAGGACTTGGGGATACGTGGCTATTGCCCGGAACTCATGGCCGTATTGAAATGTCATCAAGACACGCAACCGGAGCCGGGAACGGGATTGATGCTGAAGTATGTGGCCACCTACCTACCCAAATTCAGTGAAGGGCCAGGCAAGGAGCTCATGGATGACCACAGCACAGGTTATGCCGCCGCTCGACGGGTGCTAGTCACATACCATCCGGGAGAGCCAGAAATGTGGCTGCTTCTCGGCAACCAGCAGCAACCAATGTTTTTCATGGGCGGAACCATGCAGCCCATCATTGCGCCCCATCCAGGAATGGAGCCAAAACCCCGCTATGTGGAGCTGTATGAGAACGCAACTTGGAAATTAAGGCAACATGACCTTGTTGGAATTTTTGCGGAAGACCAACACGAAGGGCCACATTTTGGAACACATCCAGAAAGCCTACAGGAAGGCGCCGCAGACTATGTCGCTGGAAGCGTTCGCGAGGAGCTATCGCACCTTCGGGGAAAAAATCATTGCGGCCGAGATGGTGTCCATGTTGAATGATAAGCTGCTTGGCTGCAGGGTGGGGAGGCCACGGGGACTATCGCAGGACAGAACCGAACGGTTTGTAGAGCAACGACGCGTGTGTTTGGCGAAAGCGTGGGGACCGATAGTCGGTAAGGGGTTGGCGTTGGTCCGGACACAACAGGAAGACAGTGGGGTTGGAAAGCATGGCTAAGGTATTTCGGTCAATGGCTCGCGTTGAATGTGCCATTCAAGAAGCTGGAAGACTTACTCCTGGCGTCTGTGGTGGCGCGCGTGCCTTCGCACGTGCAATTCTTGGCGTGTGCTTTGGAGTGGGCCCCGGAAATGTGGCGCAGCGAGGAGGCAATCAGAGAGCATCTGGCATTGAGGGCGGTCGGGGCAGCGCTCACCGAAACCGTGGTGCAAATGATCCGAGCGCAAGATTTTTTCATTCAGCAGCATTTGACGGGTGCATTGGTGGCGCAAGACCAACCTGTAGCCGATGTGATGCAGTCATACTTTGACACCGAAGACGGCATACAGCTCACGCCGGAACAGAAACGAGTTATAGACAATGTCAACCAACGGGTGGATCAGGCACTGGCAATTGCTCGAGAAGCGAATGAGGAAGAAGTTGCCCGTTTGCAGGGTCTGGTTGAGGAGCATGGCTCCATGGTTGCAGTGTTGGGTGAGCCTGGCACGGGTAAGACGGCAGTCCTGGACAGATGCGTTCGCCGAGCGCAAGCCCTTGGTGCCCGAGTCTTATTGGCCATGCCAACAGGAGCTCAAAGAGCAAGGGTGAAACAAAGGCACCCAGACGTAGACTTGGACACTTGTCATGGGGCGTTTCTTTTTCATAAGCCGCTGGTGGAAGCTCTGGGCATCATGATGGGTTACGACTTGATCGTCATAGACGAAGCACCGCAGCTCTTCGCCGAACATTTCGCGCGGCTTCATGAGATGTGGCTGGCAGCTGGAAAGATTCCATGCGTCGTGCTTGCAGGAGATGAGTGGCAGCTGCCACCTCCAGGCCACACCAAAGAACTTGTCACGGCGCACCCCAAATGGAAGTCAGTGTACAAGATCCAGCTTCACAAAGTGTGGCGCCAGACCGACGGAGATCCATTACTGAAGAAGCTCGGATATCTGCGGAAAAATCGGCCCATGGGAGCCGACGGCGATGCCTTTCTAAGGGAGCTCTGCCGGCGAAAACAGAACAGAAAACGACGGTCATTACTTGCACGCGCCGCGGGGCCGCGTTAGTGAACCACTTGGCCATGGAAGTCTTGTTTGAGCAGCCCGGGGCGCACAAGCTGGGCACCATCCCCGCCGCGTACGACAGCAATCCAGACAACTATGACCCGCACGGCAATCTGTGGGAAGGGCACGTGCCGGCGGCATTGGCGTTGGATCTCTACGACGGTTTTCGCGCGCGCCTGACCCGAAACTTAGCCAAACACTTGGATTATGTGAATGGTATGAGCGCCGTGATTCAGAGTTATGACAGAAAGACTGGGGCCGTGGTGGTGGAAACAGTCACCAACCAAGTGTTGTGCATTTACCCGATCACAGATGCAGAGCTCCCATGCGGCAAAGTGACGTATTACCCCTTGAAGCCAGGTTATGCCGACACGGTGCACAAGTTCCAAGGTGCAGAATTGCCACATGTCACCTTCTGGCCTGATCGTGAAGGCAGCCCGGCTGCGGCGTATGTCGCGCTGTCGCGCGTGAAGCGGGATACAGATTACTTGTTGGGCGGGGTGATCAAGCCAGAGCATTTTGTACCAGCGAAATAGGTGTGGCTCGCAGACAGCTAACTGCTGCACTGGCAGCACAGAGCCCCGGATTTCTGATTTGAAAGAAACAAGTACAGGGAGCGGCAAAAGAACCAAGTAAGCAGCTAGGCCCCAAAGATTGCAGGCAGCACGCGCCATGGCAACAATAGGCCGCCAGACGTCTTTGCATGCCTGGGTTCAAGGTCGCAGCCATTTTATGCCGGCCCCCGATTATCTTGCAGGGCCTAAGTTTAAACTTGCCGAGTGAATAAAGGTTTTGTCCTGTGGACAGAGCGCTGCAACGGCAAGCTGTCATCATAGCGCAGGAAGCGTTTACCCCGAAAGTTTTCTTTTTTCCGTTGTACCTGTGTGGCAACCACAGCAGAACTAAAATGGACTGTTAGCACTGGGCGGAAGGAATTTGTGCTACTTGTTGTATGTCTGGGCCCAAGTCCGCAGCCATTTTCAGGTGCAGAGCACGCACCCTGGACAGGTTGTGGCTCCCGCAAAGGTCGCCAGGCAAAGCACCTCCTAAAAACATGCCATGCAGAGCAAGCGTCACACGGAGCAAACTTGGGAGCGCCACGCGCGCTTGTGAGATGCAGGTCTGTTCCGCGCAGCGCATGCGGTGGTGGGCCTTTGAGGACGAGAAAGAAAGAAAGAAAGAAAGAAAGAAAGAAAGAAAGAAAGACAGAAAAGGAAAGAAAGAAAGACAGAAAGAAAGAAAGAAAGACAGAAAAGGAAAGAAAGAAAGAAAGACAGAAAAGAAAAGAAAAGAAAAGACAAGACAAGAAAAGAAAAGAAAAGAAAAAGAAAGAAAAGGAAAGAAAGAAAGAAAGAAAGAAAGAAAGACAGAAAAGAAAAGAAAAGACAAGACAAGAAAAGAAAAGAAAAGACAAGACAAGAAAAGAAAAGAAAAGAAAAAGAAAGAAAAGGAAAGAAAGAAAGAAAGAAAGAAAGAAAGAAAAAATAAAGAAAGAAAGAAAAGAAAAGAAAAGAAACGAAAAAGAAAGAAAAGGAAAGAAAGAAAGAAAAGGAAAGAAAGAAAGAAAGAAAGAAAAGGAAAGAAAGAAAGAAAGAAAGAAAAGAAAGAAAAAAAGAAAGAAAGAAAGAAAGAAAGAAATAAAGAAAGAAAGAAAGAAAGAAATAAAGAAAGAAAGAAAGAAAGAAAGAAAAAAAGAAGGAAATAAAGAAAGAAAGAAAAAAAAGAAAGAACAAACAAAAAAAGAAAGAACAAAAAAAAGAAAGAAACACATAAATAAAGAAACATAGATGCCCACTCAGTCCTCTCTTAGTTGCCGCCTAAGCCCTTTCTCAGTTGCCGACAGAGCCCATTTTTTGGTTACCGACTCAGCCTTTTCTTAGTTGCGGACTCATAGTTGCCGACTCAGCGCTTTTGGTTGCCGACTCAGACCGGCTTTGGTTGCCGACTCAGCCCCTTTTAGTTGCTGAGTCAATTAGTTGCTGACTCCGACCCCAACCCATTTTTAGGGGATCGAATTTTGAAATTTTTGGCATCTCAATGGATGCAATTTTGTTTGGGTCAATTGCTGTGGGCTGATAGGCCAACAGATGCCAAACAGGTTGTGCCCGTACTTTTTTTCCGGATGTCCCATTTTGATCCATTTTGGAGAACCGGGCAGCAAGGTGACTGTCGATTCGCTGCGGCAGCCGTTCTTAGGCACTCGGATGGAAGAGGGGAGTGCTCGAAGGATTTTCAGTTTGTCTCTGGGAGTGCGTTCCTTTGTGCTGCTTCATCTTCCTTTCATCCCTTGCTGCGGGGGCCATGGGATGGAGGATTTTCCTTGTTCCCACTGGTCCCATTTGTTTCCCACTTGTCTCATTGTCTCCCTGCTTCACACAATTTGTGTCCCTCTTCCTGTGGCTGCCTTCGGATTTTTTTTGTCTCACATTCACTTCTGACTTGTCTACACTTGTCCTGCTTCTTCACATTGGCCTTAGGACAGATGATTTCGTTTCCATTTGTGTATCCTTTGTGTCCGACTTGTGTCCTGCTTGTCTCCCACATATTTTCTCCTTGTTTCCCTTATTTAAAGAACGGTTTCCCTTGCCTCTCATTTGTCCTCTCGACTTGTCTCCATAATTCCTTCTTCATGTCTCCCTGCTTGTGGCTGCCTCGGGACAGACGATTGCCCTTGTCTCCCAGCTGTTGTCTCCTCTCCCATTTGTCTCCCATGCGTTGCGAATTTGTGGCTGCCTTGGGACCGAGGTTCTGCCTGTTATCCCGCTTGTTTCTTCTTGCTTTCCACTTCAATATCCGGGCGCAGCTAGTTGTGGAAGTCCTTCAGAGCCCAGGTTGCAGAAAGGTTTTACTGGAAGTTGGTGCGATGCAGCTTTTGGGTGGTGTTCTGCGATTAGATATTTCGCCGACCTGTTCTTAGATTTATTTGTACGTGTGACGTTTCCACTCTGCTGCGGATAGTGGTTTTGACGTTGTAGATGAAAGGCGGTTGGGGCTTTTGAAGAACACTCCCACAATCACAACAACTGTGCTGGCTGTGCCCTCCCATTTTGTCCCCTGTCTCCTCAGCAACTCGGGACGGGGAATTTGCTTGTCTGTTCTTGGCTCCACTTCCTCTTTACAGGTCTGCCTTCTTTTCGCTGCCCGGGGACGGGACGATTTCCATTGTCTTGATCTTTGCCTTGTCTTCCTACTTCATTCCGAATTATTTTCTACGGGCGCAGCCTTCCCATGTTTCTGCCTCCACTTGCCTCCGATATTCACTCACCCCTATGTTGTGTCCAATTTCTGTTGCCTCCCTCCTCCAGCTGTTTCTTATTCACTGACGCCTAGTTTCCCTTCTTGTGGCTGTTTCGGTGCCAGGCTTTCGTCAGCAGGAGAGTTTGAGGTCATCCCCGCCCCTTGGCAACATTGAGTTCCAAGAAGTCCTGGCCGTTGTCAGGGTGCAACTTCTTTTTTTTCCATGTATATATATGGCTATGGATCAATACCTATTAATACCATTTTTAGTGGGATGAACATCCATTTACCAGCTATTTTGATGTTCACCAGGGGTACAAGGTTTTGACACACTGCCATATATCCCTACGTGTGATCTTCGGTGGAACCTTTAGACAGTGATGAAATATCTGCAGCGAGTTGAGACAGAATCATGATGCTTCTCTCTCTATTTATACACGTAATCCATGCCTTTTGGTCATATGCAAAAGATGTTTATTGATTAGATGCTGTAGGAGGCAATCATCCCACTTTTTTTGTGACCCCAATCGACTTCAAAAAAACCGGTGGTCACGCCCTGTAATTGACCTTGAGTTCATGGCCTTGGCGATGGCGGATGGGTCCAAGCATAGAATCCCATGGTAGAAAATCATGACTAGCCTTTTGTGTGTCCACTGGTGCCTATGGATTAAAACTTGGGTATGCCAGGCATATCTGTGTGTCCACCGGTGCACTGCACATCTGTGCTTTACCCCCGTTTTTGGATGGAGAAAATCTGTGCTTTCGGTGGTTATACCACTCTTTGCAAGCTATATAGCCTGCTCCTTATTCTTCGTATTTCACTTCTCTTCAAACCCCTAGGCGTTGCCTCAGATCCCCCTTTGCAGTTGATTGCCATGTACCCAAACACCCCCACTTGGACTGAGGACAATCCAACCAAAGGAAGAGCTGGACGTAGCTGGGTCGCATTGGGTAGGCAACCGCTTCAAGATAAGGACATATGGCCTAGATTTTCTGAGGATTTGGGCACCAAAAGCGATGGCACCATAGTGGGATGAACTTACAGCCAACTATTTGGGTGTTCACCGGGGTGCCAGGGCTTTGATTTTTCGTATTTTGCCATGGGTCAATGCCACAGGACCGGGGAACCATGGTCAACGTCCCGCTCGTATGATCCTGGCTTGGTGGGAGCAGGACTACTCACCTAATTTATATAGATGGCAATGCCTCATGTTGGTCACATGGTCTTGACGAGGCTCCAGTGGCATCCATAGTTTTTTGATTCAGAGTGCTGAAATCTGGGATGAATGACCGGCCTATGTCGGCATATTCATCAACCCATGTTTGGTGGCCCTTTCAGGTTTTGACCCATACCCATCTCCCAAAAAAATGCAAGGTAGAAACCCAGCTAAGCTTCCCTTTTGGCCCAGTCTTGACATACATGTTTTTTTTCTCCGCCATTATTGACTCCATTTTTGGCGAATTATGCAGGAACCAAACCACATCCGGCAATAAAAAGGGACCCTTTCTTTCAGGAATAAAAGCCTCTGGTAAACATTGTGACTTTGAACATGTTTGTTCATGTTGATTGCCCCTTCCTATCCTGGGCTACTGGTCCTGGAATACATGTCCATGACACAGCACCATTCTGAGATTGGCTGAGATTGGTTGTGCCCACATTTTTTCAGATGAAATCACCATCAAAGTCGACATTTTTGATAGCCCCAACTCCTGATGGCGCAATGACCTTTTTTGATTGTTAAAATCGTTAAAATCCACATGTTTGATGGTTCAATCCCAATATTCTTCATGTTCAATCCAACTGTGGGATAGTTAAAACAGTTAAAATCCAGCTTTCTTGATGGTTCAATAGCTATTTCTGACAGTTCCTGTAACTCCTCATTTTTCTCGGCGTCGTAAACCGGGTGCGCCCTTTGTCTCCATCAGCCCAGGTTGCGGCGCGAACCACCACGAGGCGATGGCGATGGAGATATCATGGGGATATGATGGGGGGATATCATGGGGTATAATACTGGTTGGGTGGTTTGGAACATTGCTTTTATTTTTCCATATATTGGGAAGAATCATCCCAACTGACTTTCATATTTTTCAGAGGGGTGGCTCAACCACCAACCAGAATATGTAGTATGATGGATTATGATGATATAACAGAGATATTTTAGAAAGATAGAAATATATGATAATATAATATATTGTATACTCCCAATGCTTTGGGACCCGAGAATAGATCCAGTTATACTAAACCAAGGTTTTTGGTCCACTGGTGCCAGATTCAAAAGGATTTGCTAATCCAGGTAGATCATCTGAAAAGGATCTGATTTTATATTTTAGCTTAGATTCAGATTCTCAAAAGGTCTTTCCATATTTCCAGTGTGTTCTTACATGTTCTTACTTATTGAACTTGCTGTTTCAGATTCATGATGACTTTGAACAGACTCCAAATTCTTCAATTTGCTTTGAACACTCTTTATAGAAATTAGTGAATTCCAACCAGCTTGAGTCAGTTCTGAAAATAGGCTTCCTCCAAAATCCAACGGTTTTTCGTCGAAAATACCCCGTTGGCTCATTGCCAATTTTTAAAATGGGTATCCTCCTGGGTATCAATAATCAAATTCCCTAAATGGAGGTTGTTTATAATCTCCATTTTGGTTGCTTATCCCACTGACATCCCCATGAAAAATCACCACTACATTCCGATAAAATGGTTCTTTTGCAAGCCGACATAAAGGATCGAATCCCCCAATTATAATCCCTTCCCCTGGAGAGTAAATGCCTCCCAGATGAACCCTCTACAGTTGTGGCCTTTTACCAGTTTTAAGTCAGTAAGTCACCCCATTTATGGAACGATACCCCCAATTTATACCCATCAAAATCATTGGTATTTTGGGCTTAAAATCCCATTAAATTATTAAATCCCATAAAATCACCATTATTAATCATGGTATTCCCATGGTATCCCCATGGTATCCCCATGGCATCCCCATGGTATCCCCATGGTATCCCCATATAATCCATGGATTCCCATGGCATTTTGGTCGCTGATCTCAGGCAGATGAGTGCCAGCGGCACAGTCAGCCCCGTGCCCGCCGTGCCCGCCTTCATCCCCTCGGCGCGCAGCAGTCCGCGTTCGGCCGTGGCGGCGGCGCAAGCGGTGGCTGGCACTCCGGGGCCCGGGGCACCCAGTGGACCTGGGGGGAACGGAACGGATTGTTTTTTTTGAGGGATATATGATATATACACATATATATATATATGTTTTTATTTCTATATAAAACTATTTTACAAACCGGGATAGATTAACCAACCACTGGATAGGTTACAACGACCGAACCCCGCGACGTCAATGGAATGATGGTTCAGATAGGGGTAGCTATCCCAATATGCCCAACATGTCAGGTTGGCAAATCGCAATAAGTTATTCATCGGCATTTGCTGTTTGGAACCAATGAATATGACATGCGGGGATGGGTCAAAACCTATGAGACCATTCTTTTGGGAATGGACATCCATTTGCCAGCTATTTTGATTGTCACTAGAGTACCATGGTTTTGATCCACGGCGCAAATATTACTCAGCTGTATATGGACATTTCTTTCATATACAATGGTCATCGGGATCGTGACTCTGACCCCGGGGCTTCGTGGGTGACCCCAAGATGCGTTTCGGACATGGGTCATGGGAAAGCCTACTGCGTTTTTGGACCCAGTTCTATTCTATGGTAGTATAACTGATATAACATATGGGTTGTTGCTCAGGGACTGGGAATTTGTAGGGCTGGGGTAAAAATCCTGCTTGAAAAAACCTTAGATGACGAGCAGGAAGCTTGGTGCTGGTTGGTGGGTGAATTTGTGCGCTTGGTGGAGAGTTATCTTTTTATTTATCGAGCTACTTTGAAATGGGACGGAAATTGATCGCTCTAGATTCTTTACCGGGATATTTTCCGGACATGATCATCAAATGCGGGTTTTGGCTGGGTCAACATATGTCAACATCTGGCCCCTGGCCCTAGGTCTGAGGTACCAGAACTGGGATCTGTGTTGCAGTGTCCAGCCAGACTGGCTGGTCGTTTTCATCCAACAAATTAGCAATGTTCAAAAACCGTCTGTCGTTCCATCATTTATACTGGATAGACAATTCTCCAGATGATTTTTTGAGATATTTTCAGGTCAGTCAGTATAACTCAGCCAAAATTATAGACTTCCTATTGGACTTACTGTAATTTATGGGTTTTTTAGGGCTTTACAACTCCTTTTTTTGCGAGCTCTGTGCTTTTCCGGCCGTCAGGCGGCCCCGTGAGAGAGCCGCAAGGGCAGCCCAGGGATGGGGGGTTCTGATGGGTTCTGGGCATGTGCCATGATCCCTTTGGGCCGCATCCCCAATCACCCCAAGGACCAGAGAGGCTACGTGTTGAATGCGGACGACATGCGGCGGCGCCTCGATTTGTGATGGGTATGAAAGAAATGAGGATTTTGCGCGATACTTGGGGCTTCAATGCAACTCAATGTTGACCTACAAGTTTTGCATTTTCCAAACTTGGTTTATTTGGTGAAACTTTTTTTAGGCGGTGTTTCTTGCGAAATTTCCATGAAATCATGGTCCCAGTGACTCAATGCGTCCTTTTTCGGGTTCGGGTTGGGGGTGGGTCAAACTCCAACCGTTCCTCGGTGGAGGCCCAGAGTGCAGACTCAACAAAAGTGTACATCGACATCATTTTTCGTTTTTCAACTTGTTTTTTGGAGTACCAAGTTTTGCACATGGATTTCGATGTCCAGAATTTTCAGTGCTTAGTCCATCTGGGATGTGCATCCTAAGCAGGAAGCTCCGGGACTGTTTCAAGAAGGATCACACCATCGAACAGGCCTTCATTTCTGGGAATCAACTTTTTTTTATTCCTGGAGGAAAACTGGATTCTCCTTTTTCTCCTTTTTCTAACCTTCATGCTTTCGTCTGCCGAGAGTTTCAGTTCTGACAGAGCTTGGAGTTCATCCTTTTCCACCCCTTTCCATCCCTTTCCATCCCTTTCCCAGAATGAAACAGAGGTACCTGGAGAAAAATCAAATCTGATTGTGCAATATTGACCTCAAAATTGCTGGGCTGGGTATCAAAGTATACATGGTCATTTTGCGTGAAACGTTAGATTTTGCTGGGATGGATGTTGATGTCCAGCAAAGGCCGCTTCTGCCGTTAAGTTCCCCTGAATTTCTAGTACCTGGTGCAGGATAATTTGCGCAGTCACGGTCAAAGCATTTGCGCTTCTGTGGTACGTGGGGACCCCAAGACCGACTGGGTTTGGCTTTGGGGATGGGGCCCATGTTTGGTATACTGCTGCACTTCTTTGGCAGGTACAACATGGTATTATAGAAGGCAGCCTACTCTGCAGCCTCAGACCCTCATCACCAGGGTTACTAACCATTTACTATCATGATAGTGGATGTATAATCAAATATACTATACACATATGTGTATATAGTATTGTATATTGTGTGTATATACTGGTAGCATACATATGTTCATGCAATACATTATGTATATATGTATATTTATGTATATGTATATGTATATATATATATATGTGTATATATATATATATGTATGTATATATATATATTTATATACGTATATGTAAGTGTATGTATATATATATATATGTATACACGTGTATGTATATATATATGCATGCAAATATGTATATATATATTTACACATGTATGTATATATATATATATACATGTATGTATATATATACACATGTATGTGTATATATATATGTATATATTTATATATGTATATATATATATATATGTATATATATATATATGTATATATGCATATATGTTTGTATGTATATATGTATGTATATATATATGTTTATACCTATACATGTATGTAAATAGTATATATATACACACATATATATATAGGTATATTTATATATGTATATATGTATGTATGTATATATGTGTATATGTATATAAATATATATGTATATATGTTTGTATGTATATATGTATATATATATGTATATATGTATATATGTTTGTATGTATATATGTTTGTATATATGTATATATGTGTATATGTGTATATAAGTATATATGTATATTTGTATATTGCGAATGGATTACAAAGGTAGCAGCTCAACGACAGTGGTGACCCTGTCACCTTGCAAGGCGAACGACTTCTGTTTTCCACAGCCTGCGATGCTCACGGTCTGACGACCACCAGTTTCTAAGCTGCCACCATCAAATGAGCTTCCAATGAAAGGAATGCCGGCCGCGGCAAATCCAATAGCTTCAAGCAGGAAATACCACCCTCAAACACACCTGGGCTGACCTCAGCCTCACAGCCGCAGTTGTTGGAAATCTGTTGGGCTCTCTTTCACTGGATCCTTGCATGGGAGTGAGCATGACTGCAGAAATCAAGGTGCATATCTGTTGGAATCACACTCCCAAAAGATCATTTTGTAGTGTTTTCTTGATTCTGCAGCCACTTGAGTCGATTTCGGGCAGAGGCCCTCTCCTTCAAGATTTGCTCTTGGTCGTGCAATCCATATTTCCCGGCTCGCAAAACGTGACGCAGGAAGGAACATTCCATTTCCTTTGAAGTTAAAGCATCAGCCACTTGGGCTCCTGAATGGACCCACCGCAAACTCACGTTTTCGGCTAACATGTGCTTGGTGGACCTTGCCAGCTGTGTCCTGAATTCCTGAGGGAGCTGTTCGGCTGATTAGGTCAAAAAGAGATTTACAGTCGGTAACGGCGATGTCTTCCCTCAGGGTGGCATGTGCAATGGTATATATGGCAATTTTTGTAATGTTTGTTTAATGTTTCCACTTGAGTTGAGGGCTTAAAATCCAAGCCCAAAAAAGGCGGAGCCAGGAAAGTTGATCTAGGGTGAGTTAAGAGAAGTTGCTTTTGCTGAGAGAGTGCTCACCACAACCTTCTGAATCTTCTTACATCCCCACAAAATTGGTGATACCGGACTGGTCACGTTGTTCTTGATTTGATCGTGAGTGGTCATTATCGTCATGCCTGTGTGGGAATCAGGTTGTTTCTTTGATGAAAATGATGCATCTGAAAAAACCAGGAAACGAATCTTGTCCACATGAATAGGTTGAATGGTAATGGCAATATCCCTGAAGCGTTTTGCATCATGTAGGACTTTGTTGGCCTGAAGCAGGGCTTGTTAGTCTGCATTTTGATTCATCTCAATGCCTGCGAATACAAAGCTTTGATTCTTTTTTTGATCCGAATGGGTAGCGTGTATATGTATTTGCACATGTATATGTATATGTACATGTGTATGTGTAAATGTAAATATGTAAATAGGTAAATACGTAAATATGTATATGTATATATATATGTATATGAATATGTATATGAATATGTATATGAATATGTATATATGTAAATATATATATATAGATGTATATGAATATGTATATGAATATGTATATGAATATGTATATATATATATATGTATATATGAATATATGTATATGCATGTATATATATATATGTATATGTATATATGTTTATTCCTTTCTTTATTTATCTATATATACATTTTTCATATCCCGATCCCGAGGGTGGTTGGTCAGAAACACAACATTTGCACTAAAAACATCCCGGGAAAGTGCCCCGATGGTAAAAATTGACCAGTTTTGCTCCACTCCCAGGCAGCTCCTTCTTCAATACCGTTGTGCTGGTTTCGACCTCAGCTCTGACAGATGTCATCGCTGGTCAAGTCGTGTTGTGTCTTTGTAGGTCTTTGCAAACCCAATGAGGTGATGATTGTGCTCAACTCCATATGGTGACTTTGGGGTGCAGGGCAGGGGTTGAGATGAGGTCGTCACGAAGTCTGAACATGTCCATGAAACCAGAGAAAGACAGGGAAATGCGTGCCGATTTCCGCCATTTTCTGGGGTGTGCCACCATGCCGACCCTCCATGATGTACAGCAAGAACAACACTTCGCCGCTGAAATGGCCTGCCGTTTCTGCAGTTTTTTCTTCCAGCTGTGCTTGAGGATTGCCATTGACATCGATTTCAACAAGCATCAGAACCTTTTTGATGCGCCGTTTGTCTTCAGGCTTGGCTGGGGCATCGATCTGGCATTCCTGACAGACTTTTGGGAGGGGTAAAGGATGTCAAACCGAAACGACAAGAGGCTGTTGCAAATCTCGAAACTACACCTTTGCGATCCTTTGTGGATGTTCCCTTCGCTTCCCTAGCCTTCCCCATCCTTCCATACTCCCTTCCTCCCTCCCTCCCTCCCTCCCTCCCTTCCTTCCTTCCTTCCTTCCCTTCATTCATTGCCAAATAGGGGCTTGAAAGACTATTTTCCAAGCCATGCTGAGAATCTGTGATTTGATGGCAACTCACAAGAATGGTCAGGCTCGGGGTCCCATGGGTTCCCATGGGGTTCCCGCGATGCCAGGTTCGCGGACAACGTTTTCTGTGGCTTCTTTACCTTTGAACTGATCGTCCGACTTGGGGCCATGGTGCGCTGGGAGCAGATTCTGGCCGCTGGGCCCCGCCTGGGATGGGGTTGGGGTTCAGGTGGACACCTGGACATGAGAGCTGGGGGAAACATTGAGATATCGTCGATATCGTTGTTTTTTTTTTGCTTGTGGGGGCTCAAACCACCAGCCTGATGGGAATTGCCCCAGGTTAGTCCTCTCGAGTTCCTTTTTCTCTTGGAGATTATTCCAGTCAGCTAGAGAGCTGGGAGGGGTAAATTGGTCAATGGACGCTTTTCCTCAAAATACTACCTGGGTGGGGCAGAATTCCGTGGAAACCACTTATGCATTAGGATTTCTCCCAAGACAGCATTTCTGAAGTTAGTTTGACCTCAGCCCCCCTGGCGCTGAGGATGGCTGGTTCCTGTTTGATTCCATGCTCACCATCATGATGATCTGGGACACCTGGCTCCTTGGCGATCATCCGGGCCCCATATGGTGGTTTCCTAAAATAGGGGTACGCGGGTACATCCATTTTAGTATTGTCCATTCTAAACCATCCATTTGGGGTACACCGGGTACCCCCATTTTAGGAAACATCCATATGGAGAAGATGTTTGATATTTTTTGCCCGCTGGACCCGAGGGTGCAGGCCATCATTCGGCTTCTGGGCGGGCAAGCGTATGGCGCACAGGCCAGGACGGGGCCAGTGGAATCTTGACAAAGTGATCCCAGTCCACGAAGCCCCCTTTCTAATCAAACATACGACCATGGAACATCACCATTCTTTTGATATAGCAGTAACATCGTCTACAAAATGGGGCACTTTCCATCGATGGAACGGTGCTGATGGGCCTTGTTCCCCACATCTTTGTGTGGGGTTCTTGTTTTTGGTTCTGTATCCCGCCGTCCGCCCGTCCGCCCGTCCGCCCGTCCGCCCGCCCGTCCGCCTTCCACACACAACTTGCTCACACACAACTTGCTCACACACAACTTGACCACACACAACTTACTCACACACACAACTTGCTCACACACAACTTGTCCTCACACAACTTGTCATCACACAACTTGCTCACTCACACACATCTTGTCCTCACACAACTTACAACTTGCTCACACACAACTTGTCCACACACAACTTGCTCACACATGCTCACACACACAACTTGTCCACACACAACTTGCTCACACACAACTTGTCCTCACACAACTTGTCCTCACACATCTTGCTCACACACAACTTACTCACACACACAACTTGCTCACACACAACTTGTCCTCACACAACTTGCACTTGGCGACATCCACCTTCGTTTTGCGTGGCAGGCGTGGCACTGGGTGACATCCACCTTCACTTGCGGGCTCTGGTGGCGCAGCGGGTTCCCGTGGGCGCCGCGGCGTCTCGCGTGGCAGGCGTGGCACTTGGCGACATCCACCTTCGTTTTGCGTGGCAGGCGTGGCACTGGGTGACATTCACCTTCACTTTGCGTGGCAGGCGTGGCACTTATGGCACTGGGCTCTTCCCGTGGGCGCCGCGGCGTCTCGCGTGGCAGGCGTGGCACTTGGTGACATCCACCTTCGTTTCACGTGGCAGGCGTGGCACTTGGTGACATCGACCATCACTTTGCGTGGCAGACGTGGCACTTGCGGCACTGGGCCGGCTCTCACACCATCTTTGACACACCACTTTGTCACACACCATCTTTCACACACCGTCTTTCACACACCGTCTTTCACACACCGTCTTTCACACACAACTTTGTCACACACCATGTTTGACACTTTGTCACACACCATCTTTCACACACCACTTTGTCACACACTGTCTTTGTCACACACCACCTTTCACACACACAACTTTGTCACACACCATGTTTTGCCACACCATCTTTCACACACCACTTTGTCACACACCATCTTTCACACACAACTTTGTCACACACACACCATCTTTGACACACCATCTTTCACACACCGCTTTGTCACCCACCATCTTTGACACACCACTTTGTCACACACACACACACAATCTTTCACACACCATCTTTGACACACCATCTTTGCATCACCATCTTTCACACCACTTTGTCACACACCATCTTTCACATACAACTTCGTCACACACAACTCTTCACATACAACTTGTTTTACTTCTCGATCCTCCACCACCTCCTTTGTCTTTCCTGCCTTGCCCGTCCCGCTACAACATTTGTTGCCCATTATTGGAAGAAGTTGACATGTGGGGTTATCCGGTCCTTTAATTTGGCTTTGTTTTTCTCGGTAAATAAATTGGGTAGTCAGGGTAGACGCACGGTTTGTGAGGATAGTATGTGTAGAGGCTAGAATTTGCCATGAATTGGCAACGTGTACTTGATTGTACTTGTATGTGGGCCGCAACCCCCGTCAACTCCGAGCACAAAAACGCCTGTACAAATGGGACCCCCAAACACGTTTATTGTTTTTGTGTTTTTATTATGGTGTTTTCTTTGGCATGTTTATTTTTTGGGAAATTGTTTGGGCAAAACGGGTGCGTCAAATATCTTTATTATAATATACATAGTATATAGAACCTGTATACTTTACATATATATATAGAGTACAAACATTTATATATATATATAGTACATATATATATATGACACACACACACATATATATATAATATATATATATGTAGAGTATATACATACATATAATACACACACATATATATAGTACATGTATATATATAGATAGCGTATATATATATATATACATGTATTTGTGTATATATGAATACATATTATATGCAATACATCATTGAGTAAACGTCTTGTATATTTCTCCAGGGCCTTTGACTGAAAACGGTTCTTATTTTTTTTGAATTTGCAAACAAATCGTCCCTAGTCCATGGATTCAGATTTGAAAGTCTGCCAAATCGCTGGATTCGAAAGATTCTCCTGCAGAATCCCATGTTGTGGATTCAAACAATTTTTTCTGCGTGGAGTCGTCTTGAATTCAAGAAGCCCGTGAACGGTGAATCTTGAATTTGCCGGGCTTTACACATTTTGAACATTTTGTAAATGGAGCCATGGCTAGGGAAAATTCTTGAAGATGCAACAGTTCTCCAAAAAACGCCACTTGGTATCTGTCGAATCACAACGATGTGTTGATTTTTGTGGAAAATTCATCCTCCCAAACAAGAATATATGAACTTGGAATGCATCAACGATCTTACATCCCACAGCAACCGTTGGGGTTGAAAAGTCCAACTGTGCCAAGCCCATATACCCAGATCTACCGCACCCATGTTTTTCCCCACACATGTCATACATATGCCCCCAAATCAAATGGATTATCATCATTTTCCCCATGAACATAGCGATTTTTTTGGGGGTATAACATGGTACTGGTATAACCTATTCTCAGACACACTCAAGTGGTATAACACTCATATGTGCGACTCATTTTAAGAAAAGTTGAGATTCTTGGTTTCCGCGTTGCCGCATTAACCATCATTAACCATCAAACACCATTAACCATCCAAAATATCATATTGTTGCCAGATTTTTCCAAAAAAAACAACCGCCCTCGGTAGGTGCGGAGTTTTACAATTCTGCGGATCCTGCGAATTTTAAGGCTGTAAAACAGTGGCAAATGGGGGGTGCTTTTTGACCTACCAAAAGCGATGGTTTTTGTCTTTCTAAAGATCTGAAACCACCCGTTTTTTGGAGTGACACGGTATAATTTTGAGCCATTCCCATTTTTTTAAATGTGCATCTCATGGTTTCTCGAAGAAATTCCGCAGAATTCCAGAACCTTAACCCCAAAAATCTGGAAAGCATGTGTTGCGGTTCGGCCATAGCCATGATTGAACCTCAACATTGGATGGTTCAGTATCCAACATAGCTAGATTTGTCGTTCCAATGCACACATTTGGGGCACTCGATGTCAAACTTACTTTGGGCGCGGTTCAGTTTCCATTCAGTTTTCAGCTGCAGATGTCCAAATTCTGATGCGTGAAGACCATAGGTGATCGTAGGTGACCATAGTATATTGGTGGTGCAGGACATGATGAGACTCTACAGCTACACCACCAATATACTATGGTCAATACAGCTGTATATTGTGATGGAAAATTGCAGCTGTGGTTCCGCCGGCTGCGGAACTGTGAGTTTTTTGCCGGATCGGGTTTCAAGAATTGTCCTGGTGAGAAGGATCAACATTTTGCAGACTTGTTCCATCTATGTCCTGCAGATCAACACTATATATATATATTGATATTAATGTATATATATATATACACATATTTCCCACTCAGTTTCATCTATGATATTCTTTGGTTCAAATCATCATGATCCATCATGCAATATTCCATCAATATTCCATGATATACCCTCTGGTAAACTAACATGACTATGGAAAATCACCATTTTGAATAGGCAAATATAAGTAAATCATCTATACATGGGCCATTTTACATAGCAAACTGTTAGTTTACCAGAGGGTAATCCATATAATATAGATATACGTCATTATTTTCCATGATAAATCAATATTCCATCAATATTCCATACATTGATCAATATCATCCCATTTTCCATGGTTCAGCCAGGGTCTTGCGCGTGGCCCGTGCCGCGCGGATCATCAACTCCCTGCCCGAGCTGCGTGTGTTGGTGAAGGGAATGGCGACGCTGGGCCCTTCAAAAGGAAGGCGGAAGGGGTTCTCTGTGAACCTTATGATGGGTAAATGATAGATGTAGATCATGTAACATGTAGATGATATGATGTAATTTGACATGATGTATACATATATATATAGAATAGATAACTTAGAAGATGTTGAACATATCTTACAATATATTACATAATAGTTATACAAGCTAATTTATGATATACAATTTACCATGGATAAACATATCAACATATCTATATACGACATATTATCTTTGACATATCCTGACAGACACAAAGAGCCATGCTTATAACATATTTGAACTCTTGAACTATGCCAGATTCGCAAGAAGAAGCAAACTGTGCGTGCATGCGCCATTGAGAGTATAGATACAGTATATCTACACACCTGCATACAGTGATTGATATACACAAACAAATCAGGAAGAAGTAAACACATGTATGTAGATCTTTCTGTGACGTGTATGTACATACCGAGGAAAACATATTCGTAAAACACTATTCTAGTTCCATTCGGTCGCAGGGTGGTGTTGTTGATTTCTATCCAAATCGGATCACCAGTGATCGGATTTAAGATTCACTGTCATACGATGATGGTCAACAGAGGTCAAGGACAGTTCAAAGATGGGGAGCAACAACAAACAATCAGGTCGATGTACGCTATAAGACTTAAGAACAACAAAGTAAGAGCGGTCCAAAATTGAGAATTTCCGCTTCCAATAGGTAAGATATCGAGGGAACCTATCAGAAATATCTGGGAGATTTGTATCCAAGGATTCAAGCTGCAAAACACTGGTTTTTGCAGTTATGTAGACATATACATATACGCGTACATGTATATCTATGTATGTATAAATGTATACAGGTGGTGCCAGAATTATAGAACGGAGCCAGGAGTACAAAAGTACGGTAAAATACCGTACCTTTGTACTCCTCCGGGTTCCGATTCCGCGCGGAGTCGGGAAATTTAATTATAGAACGGGGATCCGTTCTATAATTAAATTTCCCCGTTCTATAATTAAATTTCCCCGTTCTATAATTAAATTACGCCTGGCTCCGATCTATAATTTCTGCGTATAATGTTATGCATATATGTTATGCATACATGCTATGCATATATGTACTTATTACTACTACATGATGTGTTTCCCCAAACAGTGTGTCCAAACTGAGGGGTTCTTACGGTAGGTGTAAAGGCCGGTGCTTGATCAGGGTGCTCCAGCCAGGGCGCGGCATTTTTCCTGTAAATTTCTGTAGAAAGTGGCTCTTGTGAAATGCTGAAGTGCATTTCGACTGCGCAGGCTTGCACAAAGTGTGTGTCCGCGTTCTGGGCTCAGGCATTTCTCCTGTAAATTTCAACATAACGTGGCTCTTGTGAAATGTTGACTTGCATTTCGACTGCGCAGGCTCGCACAAAGTGTGTGTCCGCGTTCTGGGCTCGAGCATTTTTCTTGTAAATTTCAACATAAAGTGGCTCTTGTGAAATGTTGACTTGCATTTCGACTGCGCAGGCTCGCACAGAGTGTGTGTCCGCGTTCTGGGCTCAGGCATTTCTCCTGTAAATTTCAACATAACGTGGCTCTTGTGAAATGTTGACTTGCATTTCGACTGCGCAGGCTCGCACAAAGTGTGTGTCCGCGTTCTGGGCTCGAGCATTTTTCTTGTAAATTTCAACATAAAGTGGCTCTTGTGAAATGTTGACTTGCATTTCGATTGCGCAGGCTCGCACAAAGTGTGGTCCTAGGTCTTGGGATCGGCCCTCCTCCTCAGCATCATCATCCTGCACCTT